TCCTCATCTGCATCAAACGTCTCTGATTGAAAATTTTCGTTCCAGAACCCCACGATAGATTCCCAGCATTTTTTTGCCTCCGTGCGATATTTTTGAGAAGCAGTACTATCGTTAAGAATTTGGACGGTCTTGATATTGGCATTGTCGTCTATTGCTTGGCGAATTTTCATAGGATAAAATTCCGGAAATACGCCCATAGGATCCCCAAAGCCGTAAATTTCACCATAAAGAGCTTCGTCCGCAGGTCCCGATAGATAGAAAAGTTTGAAAAGAGCTGCATCGGTTAGATGATATGCTCGGTGACAGCGATCATTCCCCTCCTTGATGATTGCATGATTGACACGACCTATTACCTCACTAGGGTGGATGGCGGACCTGGCCTGCTCAAAATATCTTCTGCGAACCGCCACACCAACCTCAAGGAGGGGTTCCGCCGTAGTACGCTCTTTCTCGAGAGCCTTTACCTTTCCTTCTAGCTCTTGTTTCTCAAAACTGAGCCTTTTGGTGATTAATTTCTCCTTATAAAGTTTCTCTTTCAGCCGGTCATACGTTTTAGGGTCCGCTTCGTAAGCTATGAGACCGCTATGGTAACCTTCTATAAAGTCTAATTCCTCCGCATGCCTTGCGATACGTTCCGATGGTAAATGGGGTCTCACGTCTGCAGCTTTGGATTTTAGGACTTGAACTTCGGCCTGCAATCTGAACAATTCTTCATTCAGCGTCGGTAATGTCCTGGTGAGTGACATATATTTACTGCGTAGTTCCTCTAACTCTTTATTGCCATTCGCTCGCAAATCGACTAGTTCTTCATTGAGCGTCGAGGATATTTCGGTTAGTGACACATGCTCTTTGCGCAGTTTTTCTAACTCTTTGTTGCGATCCGTCTTCAAGTTTCTGTTTTCAAACTTTATTACTTCGTATTTCCTTATAAGATTCGCCAGCGCCTTTTGATGCTCAGCTTTTAACTCTTCGATGATCTTTTGTGACTCAGCTCTAATCTTTTGGATCTGATGTTCTTGATCGGCTTTCTGGTCGATTGTACTTGAGGTTGGCACCAGTTCATCTTTCTGGCCTCTCTTGGAAACCATGGCTATGGTCTCTGCGCGGTCTGAACTACTTAGGTCAGCCGTTGATGAATGCGGAACTTGAGCTGGCATGAGACTGGCGTGCATAACATAATCGTTTGTCATTGAGTATGATACGGGTGGAACACAGCCTGTCACATATGACACGGAAACCGCTTCCTCTATGGCATTTCCAGAAGCGGTTTTCTTCTTCTTCGACTTCTTCTTTTTCTTTGCCTTGGGAGCCTCGTTACGCTCGTTCAAAGACGTTACCGAGACAAAATCAGCCTCTTCATCTTCGGGAGTGTCGTCTGCGAGAGAGGGTTTATCTGCAGTGGGTGAATTTCCGCCAAAATTCGGAACCTGGTGTGGATCCAACAAAGCACGTTGGTCATCGGAATTTCTTGTAATATAATCGATGTTCTCCGGTCGTACAACGCTATTTCGGACTTTATCAACGCTCTTATTATTATTGTCGAGGACGTCTATGACCCGGGTATTCAAGGTTTCCTTTGGTGGATTCGCCGAAACGTCATTCGGCAGTAAACCCACAGAAGGCTGGAAGTTAGCAAGAGCCGGAACATCTCCCATTGAGGCATTTGGCTCCGCTGCCGACACATTTTTGTAGTTGATCTTTGCAATCCCTGCCACATCTTCATGATCCGAAGCTTCTAAACCTTGGACTTTCCCGAATTCCTTAGTTTCCCCATTGGCGATGATTGGCACCTGGACTTGTGATTTTGTATTTGGGTTGCCGACTAGATCAATTGTGGAAGATTTTAGACCCTCAAGCATTGAAGTAATGGTACAGGAACAAGTAAAAAGTTCCTCCAAATGTGTCCTATCTCGAAGAACTTCGGGAGTTATACTATCGGTAAGAATCCAGTTCGCCTTCTTGAGCATTCCATCGATTGCCCAGAAAATTGCAGGTTGCTTTACCAGAGCTTTGTTGTTTTCAATATAGGTCTTTATCGCTTTGAGTCGAATTGGAATATCTGCTGGTATTGCCATATTGCGTGCAGTTTACCTCAACCGCAACTTCAATATTGTATAGAGAGAGTGGTTGTAAATACCACAGCGTTTCCAGTTTTTCAATCCTTCGAAAGTCTTTGCGACAATGAAAAGGCTTTGGGACAATTGAAGGATTGGTTGGAATCAGACGAATGCCTCAAGAGAGCGTCGATACAGGGGTGTCAGTGATCAGCAGCCTATGAATGTAAGAGACTTGTATCTATGAAATCAGATTGTCTGACCATATGCGAGCTGGTGAACTAGGCCGAACGGTATACGGTACAAGAGTTAGCAAATAATGGGTGCCGCACAAGTTCGATCAACTGAAAAGGTTCGAGATGTACCAAAATTGTATTATCTTAGAGTGATATCTTGTACGTAAATGAATTAAAGGGATTGGTACATTAGCCAGATATGATGGATTCGGCCAGGTCAAGATCGTGTATGCGATGGGTTGTTTTGGTCGCGTCTCGAAGATGGGAAGTTGGCAGTCCAAGGCTGAGCGAGTGACATCTAAGTAACATTCAGCTTTCTCATAATTCACTTCCGTCAACCTTATATCCATCTATCATATAATCCCAGAAAATATACCTCGTGATGCTTAGCAAGTGCTGCTAGGGAAATAACATCGAACTCCGCGGTCACGATTGGCAGTGCTTCTGATGGTGATATTTTGCTGTTGAAACCAATCAATGTTTTAGGTTTTTGCTACTCCCTCGATTTCTCAAGCTGTTCATAGCAAGAAGGGTAGTTTTTGAGATGATATATGTGAGAATTTGAGGTCCAAAAGACGAGATAAATGACGAAAATAACGAATCTTGTCCAAATGACGATTTCCTTGTGAAAAATGCGTCATACAATACCTAGGTAGGTGGCCCTCGACATTTTGAAGTCAAGATAACTGCGCTCACATCATTCTGGGAGAGTACATTTCATGTTGCATTGCGCGGGAGCAACTCCCATCCGAAGGCGTAGCCGGAGGAAAAAGGTTTCGCAATATTGGTACGGTAGTAAAAAAAAGTCTACAAAAGTGTGGAGGGCAGCTTGTGAAAAGCGGCATGAAGAAGTTTGTTGAGAGTTGCAGGCTTCTCCGTTCTATTCTTTTAGATGATCTCGTCATTGCCGACAGAGGCTCCGTCCAACTATTCGAGATTTCTGTCGGGAAATGCGATACTCGTGGAAGCTTATTAGACGGACGAGTGGTATGCCCAGTATATCCAGGGTTTCAGATCTATTCCCTCTCCTCCCTTGGAGCTTAAGATCAAAGAAGAGCATTGCCCCCAAAAAGAGGAAGCGAAGGCAGAATAGGGAATAACGAGAAACTTAAAACACGGAACCTTGCATCGAGGTGTCGTGGATGTCCCAAATGGATCATGTGATCGGTCCTAGCCAATCAGATGCCTACTTTCGATAGAAGGAGGTGAATCACGTGACCTAGAACACTGGTTCATCAATTCCAAGACCTATTCTTCCTCAAAATATAGGTCTATGGATATCCATGCTCGAAAATAAATGGCAACACTACGACGTCTAGGAAATAAAATAAAATGGTTTCGGAATCCCTCGTCGGACCCTCAAGTTAGGCGAATGATCATTACAGGGCAAAAGGCGAGTGGCTAATATTAGAGATCTATTGTGAACATATTACTTTAATTTTCTGTCGCAGGTTTCAATATCAGTGCCCCTGCGACTGTTGGACAAAACCAAGGCAGCGATAATAATATCATTCACACAAGCAAATGTTATCCCTGCCAAGGCCGTTGGAAATGATTTATTCTTCTCGCAAAATGATTGGTCAAAATGCGAGGGTATTTCCCGCTCCAATACACAGGTTGTACATAATTCAAAAGAGCCTCATCAAATCTCGCGATGGACGTTGTCTTAAAAGGTTTTTGTGGCTGCTGCATAAGCTGAAGGTTGATGAGATTGTAAATCTCAAAATAACAATCCAATCAAACGTGTAATCATCACGTGCGCGGGGTACAAGTCGACATCTGATTTGTTCGCGATTTGTTCGCTAATGCTGGCCATCCTTCAGCTCCTAGTAATAAGTAAGAACCAAAAAATCAACATCAATCTTCCCCATTCACCGGGAAGGAAAACCTTAAAACACCATCAACACTGTGTGGCAATCCGTTCCACGTGGTAGATTCGATGTAATGCAATGCTAGGCTTCGGGAATGACATGGATACGGGTTTGTGGCTTCCTGGGCAATCCTTTTTTGACAGAAATGGGGGTCGAATTATTGCTTTTCAATATCTTGGCTCTCCGATAACAGGTCAGGCGTTCTATTTTCTATTCTATTGTAGGACACTGACAATTTTAATGTAGGATCATTTAGGCAACGACGTTTGCTTCACCAATACATGATTGGTCCAGCGGGAAGCATGCTCTGCGGGTTGAGGAGAATCGTAAAAATAGGAACCGTATCATAGTGCTGGGAATTCTTTTACTCGATAGTATAACACAAACACTCCTAGGCGAGGTTGTTGCTTGGAATGTGTCTGATAGTTTGTCCATCGCGGGCTGGCCATCTCGCTCGCCTTATGGCGCCTGTCATACAAGCAAAGGCGCTGAATAATTTTCCCACCCCTGCGACAAGGCATAACATCGCGACTCAGCTTCAAGCCATCAATAAAGCCTTATGTTGATGGACTTAGCCCTTGCTCATAGAATCTCGGCGTCCACCCGTCTAATTGGTGTCTTCCTGGACTGGTGGAAAATGCCGGGAAGGGGCTTGACTGTGTTCCCAGATGTCTTTCCTTATTAATGTAACATTTCTCCCCCTTTCAAGTACGAAGAGAAGTGTCAGTATATTGTTCGCACAGCTTACAAGAATCGACTTTAAAAAGTCTACCGACATTCATTGAGCTCATCAAAAAGTACACCTCAACCGAGGCCGAACACCACGGAGAGTACTCAAAATGTCAACCTTAGTCGATATTAATCACAATTTTGATGGCCAAAGGCATTGGTTCAAACAGTTTCGATATACAAACCCTACCTTGAGGGATACAGAGAAGGCGGGCCCTATCGAACCCGTACCTACTCATTTTCACAGAGATGTCTTGAACCGAGAGACATGGCGACCTCGAGATCTCCTGAGATACATCTCTCCTTTCTATGGCAAACCATTCCATATGATCGTCCAAGCCGCTCCCGGTCCGAATACCCAGCCCCAGGGAGAATGGAGACGACGACTTGTTGGTGGAAATGCTCCTACACTCATGCGTGTATCCTCATGGGCGATTGGAAATCAACTCGAATCTGCCGAAGACTATGCCTTGGCTGTTGGAAGATCCATTCTCATCCTCCCTATCATAATGTTTATCGTCGTATACCCGATGTATACTAACGGCGCCGGAAGAGAAAATGGGAAATATCCAATGTTCCCACACAAATGCTATGAGTATCCAAAGCATGCGCTAAATCAGCTAGATGCTGCTCCAAATGCATCGGAATGGATCAAAGGACAGCGGAAAGATGACGGAGATAAAACATATATAACCAAGGGTAAACAAAATCGTCTTCTTCGACCTCGTGCCTTGGTTGTCTTCCGTGACAATAAGTGGAAAGTTGTTGAAGATGGAAGCTTTACTGGACCATATATCTTTATCAGTTTTGCAGCTGCCCAGTACCAGAAACTCGCTCCAACGGACCAAGACCCTGGAAGGACCGAACTAGATAAAGACTCCATTGATAGAAGAGCGAGAAAGCTTACACTACACCATGGGATGGAGGCATATTGGGCAGACTTTCATGTGAGTATACTACTGTAACATCGCAAGATTAATCCACCACTGACTCTACACGCTAGTGCAGAGCAGAATTACAACCTGAGGCTACTGATGATGTTCATCGATTTTGTGATGTCACTCGTGGAGCTGAAAAAGTTTGTGTTGTATTACCAGACCACTCTCCACAAGCTCTAGTCTTTTTCGGCCAGCGTCTCTGGTGCCTACCAGAGATTTTGCTTGCCCGAGATCACAAAATCAGTGTTTGCACACCCGACTTTCAGAATCAGGATGGCGTGGATAAGATAGAAGTTGTTGATATTATGGAGTTTACTCATCGATCATGGGCCAGAATGCTCACGCCAAGTAACGAGATTATACATGATGGCAACGACGAAATTTTCCGCTTGTTGGCGGAGCATTACACCGGTTCATTGACCCTAAGTCGACTTGAGTTGATTCAAGTTGCACTTCAAGCTTTGAAATCCAGACAGTTCACCGAATTTCAACGTGGTGATATTGCCTACGCTCTCATGACACTACTTACGAAGCGCCCTCGTATGGATCCTTCTGATACGGAAGAGCAAGCTCTGGCGCGACTATCACTGGCCAATGATAGTGACCAGATTGTCGAGCGTATGGCTTGCATGGACGGTATACGCATGAAAGGTAAACCTGCGTGGTTCAATCTTGAAGACGATCTCGGCGCCAATCTGTGGGATATACAGCCGCTTTGCCAAGTAGCAGGTGTCTGCTATGATGGTTCCTTGATTTTGGATGGTACACATGCAGTTTCTATTCGTTGGAAAGACATTCCAAGAATTTATTCCCTCAGACGTGTGTCCTGGAAGAAGCTTGGCGCTGATACGGCATTGAGATCCGGACCATTTTGGCTCGTTGTGGGTATCGCCTGTGTGTCCACCGGTTCGTCGACTTTGGGACTTGGTGCTTTCTTCTTGGTGCTGGCAATTATTTTGTTGCTCACAGCACCTCTCTCTGTGCACATTTTGCATGGTGGAAAAGTTTGTATGTAGTATCTGATCGCCTCGAGCCCATAATACTAACAGTACAACTAGGGGGCGCCACACCTTGGCTGATCGGCTTTGAGGGAACACTCCCAATCAAAGAGATCGAGCATCTCACTTTCGGTAATGCAATCGGTCGTCTTCAGTATTCACCGTCCAGCGGCCCCTATTGCACTGGTAAACCAGATGAGAGAATTGGTGCGGAACCTCGCTTCAATATTACAGATCTTCCTCACGGCCATCGAATATTCACATTGATCGATACTGTAAGTTTACAATCCATTTGGAGGTTGGAGTAGATAGCAAAACTAACCATATCACCACAGGGCACAATGACCGTAACTGTTTTCTCCGCCGAGCGCCCACCATCTGTAGCCTTAATCGCAGGCAAAGAAGGAGGAATGTTGCGCACGATACTTTGCTCCTATGAGAGATCTACGAATGGATTGCGCAAGGAATGTGTGTTGAGAATGGAGACCCCAATGTGGGATATCAGTGATGCGATGGGATGGGTCAAACTTACCTAGTGAAATGAGATAATGAAAACAGATGGGATGATATGTATGGCGACAATAAGGTTGCTTTTGTGACATAGAATGAGGTGTTGGATATAATGAATGATTGATTCACGGGTGTAATTGGATGGGATAGGATGGAATGGAATGGGGGCTTAATGATGGACGGATGATACCTAATCAGTAACAATACTGTTGTTTTTGCTTGTTTCATATGCCTCTTCATGTCTTTGATGGGAAGCCATCTTCAAACAACTAAATTCTTCATTTTCATCATTCCCTCGATTCAATCCAAGTGTCTTCAGATAATATATGTGCCAATCTATCAAGCACAGCTGGTAGGAGAAATAAGTAATATGCAGCTGGAAGCACCAAGTGAAGTGCAGCTAGAAACTAGATCTGGATCCAACCTTACTCAAGAACCAGCTCATTGTTATCTTATTAGGTTCCCATCAACTGTTTGTTTAATTAATTGTATTACTGAGAGATTATCCGTATACTAGTACACACAACGTGTATTATTTTGTTTCCTACCATGATTTGCTCACAAAGATTGATACTAAGACGTACACAGATATCATTAAGCTAGAAGTAGAAGAAACGTAGCGGGGCTTGTGGTACGGTTATGGGGACTAGACTTAGAAGTTGGAAGACCACTCAATCCATAGTATTAATGAGATAACAAAAGCCTCTGATACGCTCAAATAGGCAGACCTATTATTGGTGCGACAAGTCGATCCCCCCCTGACGAACGACTTCTCTCGTCCATGAAATCTTGAGGTCTCACACAATGTTGAATGTTTGAAAGGTGATCAAGTTTCGATGACTTTCCTCTCAAGGTATTAATTAGTATAGCAGCTCACTAGATATTGGTAAGATTACAGTAGCAGGTTTGTATCTGGAAAAGGAAATAGAATCCTTCGGTAAGCAAGTCCTGTCTATGTCCTTGAACAATAACAAAACTCGATTTGCTTTGCTTGTTCAAGTAGTTATCTCTCTTGGCTCTGGTCTGGCTTACAGATATATTTGTTGTCCGTTCATATAACCACCTAACCGTTTTAGTCCTTGTTCAGTTTTACCTCTGTTCTCAGCACCAACTGCCTTATTGTTTGCTATCATTAGAGGAACCTAAGAATGGGTCGTTGGACATGAACAATGCCTCAAACTCATCTATTTAATCTAGTAAATTCGCAAAGATACGATTGAACGATTCTGAAAGCCGAAACTATCTTCACAAAATAGACCACTTCAAAAGCCAAAAACATCAACAGTCATCATCATGTCTGATTCTACTCAACCTGAGAGCGTCGAAGATTTGTCTGTATCTTTGAGGCCATCAAGCTCCACAGAGTCAGAATCCAGAAGCAACTTTCGTAAAGTTTCAAGAACTACCAACGGAAATCAGATTCCAAATCTGGAAACTGGCAGCTGTTGATACCCCACGCCGACTGGAGATCAACGACCATAATTTCAATATTCCTTCACCCTCCACTTTATAGGTGAATTTGGAGAGCCAACAGATATCAAAGGAGGTTCTCAGTAAGCTCTTTGATGGTCAAACATTCAAAGGCACGACGCATGAAGTATATTTCCGCCCAGAAATAGATACAATTGTGTTTGAAAACTTCATAAACTTCAATTTCCCACAAAGTCAAGCTTTTCGTGGTACACCATCAGAATTGGCCTACCAATTTCCTCCGCAGACGGAGTGCGATTCGGTCAAAATCCTTGAGCTGGATGAATGTCTTGGGATGTGGAGGTACAATGCTGCTCATTTTAGATCCTTGGATCTGTTGATCCTTCGTACCGGTCCCTTCGGCGAAAGACACGAGCTTCGTGTGCTTGACGAAGCGAAGAAATACTATGAGAAGAAGCTCGCACATGAAAATTGCACCAAGATTCCTTCAATCGTCATTCGTCTTGAAACATTGTTCGAGAACTAGGAGTAGCTGCAAAGTGGCTAATTAGTCAACTATCTAAAGCTTCGAAACATTATTAGTGAGTCAGAGGGATAATAGTAAAACATTTTGAAGATAAATCCTTCTCAACAAATCAATATATTTTAACAGAAACTGATTCAGAAAAATGAAGAATAAAATACAATCAATACCAATAGTAATCCCCTTTTGAATTAAACTATTGTACAGCATGAAGTGATGAATTAAATCTTTAATATGCAAGCAATAACCAAAACATGACAACTTTATTCATATAACTAAATATCGAATCTATCCACACCTCTTAAATTACCCGATTGTTACAGCATTTAGTCCAATACGTAAGTGTTCTCCCACTGGATAACGAGGTGACGGTGTAGTCAGTAGGCTGAAACAATCGGGAAACTGGCATTTATTTAACTAGTTTGATTTGTGCCGGGCTATTGCTCAATATCGCTATTGTGAAATGCCTTATGTATATTGCGAAATGAGCTAGGTTTCGGTATGACCTATT